TCACTTTCTGTGTAGTTCATTCTCCTGTTAAACATGTGTGGTCTTTTGGGAAAGCAACGAAACCCACATGCCTTACATTTTCAGTGCTGTTGCTTTGCGGGCTCAAGAATCAGCCTTAACACTTCTATCTCTTCTTCCCTCCAAATAAAGTCAACCTATTTCCCAGTAAATAGACCCATTTCTTTAAGAGTATGGGGAAAAAGTTAAATGTTGATGGAGATAGTAAAATATGGGAACTATTAAAAGGTGAATGTTAGTACACATTTATTGAAAAACAAAAATGAATAAAATATTAAAATACATAAAAGCAAAAAGGGTCTTCTAAGCCAACCCTTCTTCCTAGAATGAATAAATGTATTTTCAAATTTACTTTCTTTGTTAAATATCATCAATAGGATTTTTTCCTAAGGTGAGAAACATATGGAGCCCTAGTCCCTATTAGACTAGATCTTGGAATTGAGTCTCATAGAAATAAGACAACAAAGAGCTTTAGAATCGATTATTGTTTAATTTCAATCTGTTTGAGGAAAAAAATTAATATTAAAATATTCCTTTATTTAAATTTTATTTTTTATTGAAGTATAGTTGATTTATAATGTTAGTTTCAGGTGTACAGCAAAGTGATTTGGTTATATATATACGTATGTATATATATTTCAGATTCTTTTCCATTATAGCTTATTACAAGAAATTTGTTTTTAGTTGAAGTATGGTCATTTACAATGTGGAATATTATACCTTTATTATTGTTGAGTTGGTCATTGTTAACTTAAATAAAATTACATGTTTAAACTTTCTGTTTAAGGAAGAAATCCAACAGTCATAGATTTTATTTGACTTTTAACTTTCAGCAATGTGGGAAAAAAGGGAATTTCCAAAAAAGGGTCTCACTTAACAAAGGAAACTCAAAAGTATTTATTTCTTTCAAGGAACAGAGATACCAACTTAAATACTATCATCAGGGCATAATATTACTAAATAAGACAACCAATCAAAATTAAAGACTCTCTAGAGGTTAAGGTTACTTTCATAGGATGTAGAAATAATCTCTGAAGTCTGTTTATCTTGTAGGACTAGCTATCACAGAGAAAGAGAGAGACACAGAGAGAGACAGAGAGAGAGGTTCTGAGAAGATCAAAGCTTACCATATGGAAAAGACAAAGGCAGATAGAAAGATGAACAAATGAAATAGTGAGCACACAAAGTTTTGTATCTACATCACCAAGTCCTCAAGTTTGCTAAATATCTGTGAAATAAAGACATGCCTTTCAGTGTACTACAGTTACATTCCTGAGAATTATTAATGTATACTTTCAATAACAAACATAGAACTAAATACTGTTGGAGAAAATTTTCTTAAGAATGTGTTTTAAATTAATACATTTGAAAAATTCCATTAAATGATGTCATACCCTTAGTAACGAGAAAGTTAACATGTCATGGCCAATGTTCTTCCTTCATATAAGGAGTGTACCACCAACTCCAAAAGGACGTTTAGTGCTGACCAGTGGTTCTTTTTTTTTCTCTAGTCCAAGCATTATCAGAGTGCCTGAGATGGCTGTCTACAATCTCCAACACCTCCTGTACCCTTCTCAGTCTCATTTGATGACCTTTATTTTTGGTTCCCTCCACAAAGGATGAGCAGTCCCCATCCCTCTTTCAGGCCAATTTCCATTTTTCTCCTGGATCCCATCTTCTCTCTCCTACTCCAAGACATGGCTCTCGCAATTGTGTCCTCTCCCCTCAGTATCACTTATTTTTCCTCTAATTACTGAATCATTCCCATTAGTTTCCAAACATGCTTTAATAGGTTCCAAACATGCTTTAATAGGTTCCATCTTAAGGCAAAACAAACCAGTTCCTTGATCCCCTCACCCCAATTCACTTCTCCCATTTCTTTCCTTTATTTGGCAGCAGAGTTCCTTGAATGTATTGTCTAAACTTACTGTCTCCAATTCTTTTCCTTTCCTCTCCCTTGAACCCACTCACAAGGCTTTCATCCCTACTGCTCTGCCAAAACAGTGCTTTTCAAGGTCACTAAAAACCTCCCCGTGACCACATTCAATGACTAGTTCTCACAATTCACCTTACCCTACATACTGGAAGTAGCAGATTGTTTCCTTCTTCTGAAAGCACATTCATCCCTTGACTTTAACAATTGGCTCTCTCTCATAGGTCTTTTCCCGCCTCACTAGTCTTTCCTTCTCATTCTCCTTTGTTAGTTCCTCATTCCACCACACTCTAATCTTCAAAGTGCCTCAGAGCTTTATCCTTTAATTTCCACTTCTTTATCCACATGGACTCTTTAATCCCAAAATGGATGACTCCCAAATTTGTATCTCCATCCTGGAATCCCCCTCTGATTTATGCTGGTATATCCAAATACCTAACTGACATCTTTACATCAGTGTCCAATAGGCATCTTCCACCATAGTGTCTCCAAAACTGAACTCTTGTTTAAACCATATTTAATCCATCAGTAAAATCTCCCAGCTCTTTCCTCAAAATATATCCAGAATCTGGCCACTTCTCCACTACTACTACTTTAATCTAACTGTAATCTTTCATGGGGGCTTTTATGGTTTTCTCTTCCCTTGTCCCCTTCTTTTCCGCTGTGCCTGAAATGAAAATATCTCAATAACTTCTTATTTCCTTCATAGTAAAATTCTTGTCCTTTCCATAGCATATGCGGCTCTACATTACCTGCTCCTTGTTCCTCAGTGAACCATTTTCTACAACTCTGTGCTTGTTCATTGTCCTCCAGTCATGTGGGCCTCTGCTCTTCCTGGAAAACGTCAAACATATTCCTGCCTCGGAGCCTTTGCACTTGCTCCCTCCACTTCTTGGAACCATCTTCTTCTACCTAGTCCAATGGCTCTTTCTCTCATTTCCTTCATGTCTCTGCTCAGATGGTACATTTCAAAATGTCTTCCCTAATTACCTGATGCATCCTGGAACCTCTGTCACTCCCCCTTTCTTTCTTTACTTTTTTTTATTATACTTATGTCTTGATATATTACATATGGTTTGTTTCTCTGTTTATTGCCCATCTCCTTCCATTATAATATGAATTCCTTGAATTCAGGGGTATATTTTGTTGATGGCTATATCCTTAGTCCCACAATAGATGCTCAATAAATACAGACTGAAGGAATAAATAAGTGAACGATAGTTACCAACTTTTGAGTACTCACTATATGACAGATACTGTACTATGTATACACCATCTCATTTAAGCCTTTTAACAAACTCCTACTGTTATTCCCATATTATAGTTGAGGAAAACAAGAAAATTGCCCAGGGTAGCTCTATAGTGAATGAGATCTGTCAGTGGTAAAGCCAATGCCTTACATTGGTTTCTTTGTGTCATCCATCCATTAGAACTTATTCTCACACACATTATCTTAGTTTTATTTTGATCCTCAAAAGAACTCCATGAGAAAGGCAGGAAATACTTTATTATCTTTGTTTTAACAATGAAAAAATTGTGACTCAGAAGGTTAAGATATTTACCTAGAGTCACAGAACTAATGCATGTCATAGTAAAGATTTTAGTCATTGTGTCCCAAGCACAACACAAAAATTTCAAGTGTGTGAATTTATTTTATGAAATACCGTGCAAAATTTTTAAAATAGTTTACATGGAATCAATTGCTTTTATTGATAAGAATGCAATTTTACTATTTTAAAAAACTGAAAAAAACTAGGATCTATAGATTTATGTTTATTCCCTCAGCCTAGCCTAGAGCCTTGTGTTAATAAATACTAAATATAGATTCTATTTTTTTTTGTTCATGTCGTGTACAGTCCTAGCCCTCCATGACGAAGCTTCTGGCATCTGCTGATGGATGATAATGTATTCGGTATTAGGAGACTGCACAGCCTAACCCCCAGGAAAAATGATTGCGCAAGGGTGAGTTGGTTTGTGCCTTCTTCCTTCCTGTTCCTCCCTTATCCTTTAAGTTTTGCCAAGTTCCCAGGGCCTCCTCATACTGTTCCCTGGTAGTTTCGGGGTTTTCATTTCACTTTCATTTTAGTTTGTGGCACCAAGTCCAGCCAGTACCACCCCTCTCACCATCTCTACCTTCCTCTCTTATCTCCAGCCTTTCTTCTAACTCTTTCTCATGTGACCCTAGGT